AATATTACTGGTAAAATAATATTAGCATTTACTTTTTTGTGCAGTAATATTGATATATGAWTATAATGCATATTGTTTATTTGGTAAATTCTAGTAGTTTAGAGATTTAGATATTTTTTTGTAAAATTTAAAAGAATAATTAAATAAATGTTACTACACCCAAAAGTTTGTTTTTTCAGAGTAGGAGCAACTACTGAACAAAGACTTGATCTCATGCAGCACGTGTTCCAAAAATGGATCACTGGATTTTTGTTCAAATAAAATATCAATTAAAAGACAGATGCATAAAAAAAGATTGCAATTCTTCCTCCTTGAGYGCCTACGTTCCCTCCTTAAAACTGAATTATGTTTGCGCACCGGCCCGTCTGGGCTGTTACTAACTTTTATGCCTCCTCTTTGCTCTGCCTGCGCGCTATCATGATAAAATAAGCATCTATTAAGAGTTCATGAACGCCCCATTAGTCTAGTCAGCTGTGGAGCCCTCGAAGGTTTTACAGTGGCACATTTTCCCTTTAACGTCATCTAATTAATCTCAGTCACATAATTAATTTGTCTGCTCACCTCGCATGCACTAAGAGCAGTAAACTCTGGCTGCAACCAGGATTAATGGCCTCCCCCCTCCTCCCGGCTCCTACTCCTCATCCAGAATCTTACAATCTGCCACAGAACCTTCTGGACTAATTTGGAGTTCGCCTCCTCCAGTTCCTCCTAGACCGTTTCCTAAAAAAAAAAAAATCCCAATCAGCGCTTCTGTTCTCCCCYTAAAGGATGATGGGATGGGATGCAGCACGGCCCCTTGTGCCGCCTTCATCCCCGCTTTAATTGGAATAGATTGTTTGTCCAAGTTGATGTGTGAAGCCCGGCAGAAGTAACACATGCACGCACCCGCTCTCTTTATTTTTACACCCACTGAAACACAAACACCCAAACAGGTTCTACAGCATTGGCCACGTTTGTGTCAGTTGTGTTTTACGTTTTTGATCACCCCGATAAGGGTTTCAAACTTTCCCGAACTAAAAGCCAAGTTTAGAGATTTAGAGTAAGATAATTAAATGTTGGCAAACGATGGTGTTATAACAGTGTTGGTCAAACCCTGAAAATAATGCAAGTATATTAAGCAAAGTCTATTTATATGGCATCTTCCATGTATAAAATCACAAAGCACTTCACAATAAAAGCAAGACAATTTTAAGATTATAGACCAAAACTGCGTATTAACATCACATGCATAAGTCGATTAGGGTAACAACTAGCTAAAAGCCTCTTTGTAACAGAAAGTCTTCATTGCATTCCAGTGTGCTCAATATTCTACAGCCTCATGCACTTTACA